GAAAATGTTCAAGAGGTAACAAAGTTAGAAACCAAACCTTTGAGAAAACTTTGCCGAAACAATGAGCTAAACTATAAGCATATCTTTTGATGAGAATCAACCATACAAACAATTAGATTGACCTTTACTAGGTCGCATAGGTTGTACTTTCAAATACCTACTTACTAATTTTGGATATGAGCACATAAGTACAATGAAGTTTGAGAACCCAAGTCAGACCATGAACTTGGTGATTTATATATAGTCTGATACTTGAATAAAATTTCAAACATCTGTTTACATGCCCACTTAATCCTTGTTCAAGCATTTACCATATGAAGTTAGATATGGCAGCTAGTGTTGGATCATGCTTTAATTATAACAGATAGTGCAGGACCTGGTGCCTTAGATCTCAAGTTTAATCATAATGCTTTTAAAGATATTAAAATATGCAGTAGATGTCAAGTTTGTTACCCATCTGTGCATTCTCACACAAAAAGATTCAGTAAACTTTAAGAGGACAACTTTGCTTTGCTAGGATAAGAAAGACATGGTTTCCAAAGATCGTGGGGTAAGGGCATTCAAACAAGGAACCCATAAATTATGTTATGCACTCAGATGCTCTAAATCCCGCAAAACAATTGATGTTGTGATTTAGGTACCCAAACAAGTTTGGTTACCTTTTTACTTGAAAGAGAATAATTATCAAATCACTTATTTTCATGACCAAATCTGCAATTCTTGCTTATATGTCCTAATTTATGACAGCAGTAGCATCTCAAATTATTTTTATGATAAGCATATAAATTATTGGTGTTTAGAAGGCAATACCTACTCGAATGACCTCGTTTATTACAAGTATAACATATGGAGTTCCTGTTTGACAAAAAGCCATGGAGTCTAGACATATTGGCCTAGTTTCATTATCTGATGCTAGCAACAAACATTCAGTTTCAGCAGCAGATAATTTACTTCCCAGTGAAACATTTTCAGCTTCTAAGCAAGCTATCTTAGTTGTTAGAGCTTCTAATTCAGATGCAAGATCAACACTTTTATCAATCTCATTTTCTTTCCTTAATTTTCCTAATTCAATAGTTAGAGTTGAGTTTACCATAACAAAAGATTCTGCTTTATCATCAGAAATCAATTTTTCATGTTTCAGTTCCTCTAACTCTCTTTTCAGTTCCAAAACCTCATCTTCAAACTCCTCCTTTAGGTTCTTAAACCTAGCACCAAGTTTTAAATACAGACTTTGAACTCTAAGAAGGTCATCAATAAGTTCTAATTTCTTTACTTCGGAAAAGCTAGAAGAGCAATCAGTAGATTCATAACAATCGCTTTCTGAATTAGAAAAGTTAGAACGACATACCACAGAGTTCGGTCCTCCTCTAGCCATGAGAGCAAAATGGCTTTCTCTTATATCTTCACTATCAACCTCTGAGGAGCTCCAAGTCTCAGCCAGGACATCGAAATTTTTCATGCTGGAGATAGGACACTCACGTCTGATATGTCCTTGTTTGCCGCATTTATAGCAGAAGGTGTTGAGTTTCCTGCTTGCTTCAGCAACATTAGGCTTATCGAGATTCATCCTTCCCTCATGAGCTAGAGAATACTGTTTGCTTCCAGCTTTGTTGCCTACTTTTTGTTCTATAGCTGAATCTGCATCATTACACAAACCCTGCAAACTTTCCCAAACATCTTTCGCAGACTTACAGTGGAATACCCGATTATAATCTTCAATATTTAGAACACTAAGCAAAATAAACATAGCTTTAGCATTTAACTGTAACTATCCTGACTTATTCTCTGCCCATTTGTTATCACCTTTTAATTCTAGCAACCCATTCTCAATGATAAACCAAAGATTAGGATCAACCGAAAGCAGAAATAATTTCATCATGTGCTTCCAATGAGGATACTCTTTACCTACAAACCTGGGTGGTCTGAGAAACGCCAACTCTTTGCCGCATAAGTGAAGAGATTGAGTACTGCTGGTTGAACTGCTTCTTCCCATGATCGATTTCGCCGGAGATCGTTAGACCTTGTTCTACGACGACCGACTCTGATACCAATTGTGAAATCAAAGGATGGGACTTTAAAGACTTTCGAATTGGGAAAAAAATACTGAAAATTTTATTAAGGATTCAGAATGAAGTACGTCATCATTCTGCAGAATCAATCTGCTTTTAACAAGAAAGAAAAGAAGAAGATGAAGAAACTAAAAAGGACTCTACAGAGTAAAGAAGCAAACCTAGACCCATCAACAACCCAAAAGAATCCCTCTTTTCCATTGCCGAACCGTCAAAGGAACTGATGCTCTATATATAGCTTCCAGGGATGTGACCGTTGAGAAGAGCTTGATGACCGTTGGGTGGATTTCCAGAGGCAAGTGCGCTGCAACTTTGCTTTTCTTTCTTTGCTTTTGGTGTTTGGCTTTTGAAACTAGAAAGACAGTAGGAGCAAGGCGAAGGACCACAAAGCTGATTGCAGAATCCGGACAATCTTGAGCTGAAGAAAACTGAAGTGGGCTGGGTTGTGCTTAAGTTAGCTGAAGTGGGCTTGTGGTCCGGTTAAATCAGTAACATATATGGAGCGACACAACAAATAAAGCAAGATCATGAGTATTTCCGCTACAGCTCTTCCACACCATTTCCAGCTTCCTGTGAATCATCATTCATCATCATCCTCGTCACCTTCATCATCAGCTAATGACAAAGCTTGGAATTTGTTGGTACGGCGGCAGACCGTAACAGTGTTAACATTGTTGTTACATTGCTGCTGATGCTGATTCTTGAGCGCCGACTTCTTCTTCTTATTATTGGCTGGTTTCCACCCTGCCTCCACGATCGACAAGTTTTTGTCCTTGCCCTTATTAATCTCATGATCATTCTCTTTCTTCTTCTGTACAGAGACATTCCTGCATTCACATTCGTACATATACCATCATAAGATAATTAATCAGAAGCCTAAACCTTGATGATAGCTACCAAATTAACTATAAGTTCATTCATTACCATGGCACAGGGAGGAACCAAAAGTAGTTGTGTTTAGAAAGCGGCTCGCGTGCAAATCTTTCCATGCTTTGATCAGAAAGATTGAAAACGCCACATTCATTACGATTCGTATCATAAAACGTGAAGCCATCTGCATACTCAAGATCATAACCACCATAATCGAAAGAAAACGCGAAATAGATACGATCCTCTCTGACTCCATTAATGTAGTTTGGTGCAGCAGCAGCGGGGAGGCAGAGTGACTCGTGGGAGTATCCCAGAAACAGAGCGTGCCCATCCAAACTCCTCACTTCCTCCCAATCATCATAAGAACCACCAATATCCGGCAGTTTTAGCTTGTATACCTGGAAATGATGGGTCATGTCGCGGCTAGAACGTCGATGAACGAGGAGGAGCTGATCATCGTTGAGGCAGGACAAGTGGGAGAAGATGGTGGTGCCATAGACGTATGAATGGCTGGATGTATGCAATATAGCTGAAGCGAAGGGGAAGGGTATTGATTTGACCACGATACTAGTAGCAGGGTCTTGTTGGGTTGGGTTTTCGATGACGTGGACGCATTTATAGTCCACCAGGTAGAGTTTGCCTCCGAAATAGGCGGCGTCCTCCGGGTGCGGGGGAAGAAGGTTGGAATCCTTCTCCCGCGTGAATTTCCAATCTCGTTGTTCTCTTCGGAGTACAGAGCCCCCCACCTTGCTCCAGGCCAGCTGCCGGATGTCATTCAAGTTGACGAAAAGGATGACGTGGCAGTCGTCGTGGTGGTGGCGGCGAAGGTGGGGGGACGAAGTGATGATAGCGTGTTTAACGCTGCCCAAGGTGATGGTGGTGCCGTTGATGCTGGTGGGAGTTGGTGGCCGGCGGAGGGGAGGCAGAGTGATGAATTCCCTGGTGATCGGGTTGAGGAGGTAGGGTCTGACCGGTTTGGGTTGCGGACCTGGTTTGGGTTCCGGTCTGAATTCGACGACGAGGACCCACCCGTCTTTGGAAGCCACGCACGGGTTGTTCCTCGGCCTTCTTCTCCTCTCTTCCATAAAAATTTCGAAGGGGTCTAAACCCACGCGCCGGTGAGTGATGGGGCGGAAACCGAGCGGGATTGTGACGCGCCGCGGAACCTGCTGCCTTCCGGTTGATCTATAACTCGTCGTTGGGGCGACGAATTCTGTCAGTGGCTTGAACTCATGGGAGTCGGGGTTGCTCTTTGGAGATATAAGAAGGCCGGGGAGGCCTTGGCGGCGGAGGGTGTAGTCTCGGAGAGCGGCGGATCGCCATGATTTGCAGACGCCGGAGAAGGGGAGGAGCTGGGAGAAGCAGTGCAGGTGATCTTTGACGATCTTTGCCACTATGTCTTCTGGGAGCTGCGAGTAATCCTCCATCAAAATTCCTAATTCCCGTAGAGCTATTTGCGTAAGGTGAATATTGCGGGATAGCTAGAGTCGATGGCTTCTCTCTGCGCAGCTACCTATAGCTTCTACTTATGTACTATCACTATCTAGGGTTCCACAAGAAAAAGAAAAAAAGAATTTCCGGCCGGATCGGTTTTCTTAGCTAGGACGTTCCCACTCCCAGAATATTATTTTGAGTAATTATTCTTGTGATGGAACCATCAAATTAGAATCACAACTTTCAAATTACTACGTAGAAATTTGGTGGAGTTCCATCTAGGTCGGCAAATGAGCCGTACTGCTCACGAATACGTCGATATTTGACTCGAAAAAAAGCTAATTCTAAACTCGGCTTATTTACTAACGAGAATTGAGATTGAAGTAAGGAGTAGTTTGGAAGTTGAGGTTTCAAATGATTTATTTAGCCAATAAATGTAATGTTAAGATCAAGTCCCTTTTTGTTGTTGTTGTTGTTGTTAAATTTGAGATATAGTAACTTACAATCACTCAAAATGAGTGATTTTCAATCTCTACCAAAAGATGAGATTGTTAACAATGAATTGTATACCCAACCTTTCAACAAAAACACAATTTAAACCTCCGAACAAGGTACATCAATGTGAAACTCGGTATGACAGACTTTTGATTGCATGAAATGAGATTTATTTGAGGGGGAAAAAAGAATGATACTGTATAGGCAAAATACACTTGCATGACCATAAGTTTGCATTTTGTGACAATGATAACCAATTTTTAAAAAATACACAGGGGTCGTTTGGATGCAGGTTTTTAATTAGAGAGATTTGACAGAGATTTGGGCCCAAATCCCTCAATAAAAAACCCTGGAAATGTGGAAGTAGGATTTAATCCCAATCTCTCGTTTGGCTTTGAATGAGGGTTTCAGAAGAGAGAAATAAAATTACAAATTTGGCCTTTTATATCTCCTCCTTCCTCCATTCTTCTGCAACTTTCGAGCCTCTTCAAACCCAGAACGATCGGCGTCGACATCCCTCCTGCAATTGGTGCGCTTTTGAGGATAATCACCTCCAGCCCCGTCGACACAATCACCAGCAGCAATGGACGGCGAAATCGGTAAGGTTCCTCTTCTTCCTTCCCCCATGGGACGAGCTCCTCTTCCAGATCTGTCTTATCTTCTTTCCTCTGCAAACCCAAGAATCCACACCCAATTATGTTGTCTTCTTACAGAGTGCCGACGAGATGAGTGTTGAAGCGGAGGGAAATCCGTCAAAGCTTCCATCGGCGAAGAAGGGGAGGAGCTCATGGAGTTCGATTCTTCAATCTCGCAGTGAGTTCAGCAATCGGCGGAGGGAAGCAGCAAAGGACGACGGGAAGAGGGTACGTATTCAAAGAGAGAAGGCGAGCTCCTATGAGATCCATGAATCAGAGGAAGAAGGAAACCAAATCGAGGGGTAGAGTTTGGAAAGACTGAAATATAAATGAGAGATTTAGAAATAGCTGGCCCCCATCAGCTATTTCTAAAACCCACGGTTGAGGGTTTTCAGAATTTCTAATCCCAAATTCTTGAGGCTATACAAACGAGTTATTTGTTTAAAATCCTGGATGGAGAGGGATTGTACCACAATCCTGCATCACAATCCGGCTAGAAACCCTCATCCAAACGACCCCACAGATATAACCACATATTGGAAACTAGTTCGACAAATTTAGTCAACTTCATTAAAAACTTTAACGTCGTTAATGACTCAAGGAGGGGGTAGCAACAACTTGGGGGATCTAATTTCATCTCCTGGTACCAAAATCATACGAACGATATCAACCCAAAAAAATTAGAGCCTTGGGGTGAACTCGATTGAAACAAACCCCTAAATCGGAGAGTTTTCTTCTGGTTTTTGTGACACATATCTAACGAAGAGCTGGTCGGCAGAAGCATGATGGATTTGTAGACGAGAAGTTGCGAATTTGATGGCATGGCGGAACAGAGGTGGGAGGAGGAGCGCTTCGAGAGAGAAAAAAATGCATGGAGTTCCAGATGTAGAAGTGCGGCTTGGGTTTCGCTGTCGTGAAGAGAGCTTGTTGTTGAGGAAGCTAAGAGTAATGGAGAAGTTGACCAGCGACGTCAAAGTTGACAACCACTGTCGGATTTCTGACTATCATGGAGAATTGGGTCGACCATACTTGCGCTCATGGTGAAGAAGGGAAAGGGGAAGAAGTCTAAGCAATCGAAGGGAAATAGTTTTAGGGTTTTTCAATTAATTAAAAATAAAATGATAAATTCCACCTGGTATTTTTGTTTTTTCAAAAGTTGCCAAGTCACCGAAAACGTTAATCCAATCACCATTCAACACGGTGTCGTTAAAGTTATTGACGGAATGACTATATTTGTATATTTTTTGAAAATTAGCTATTATTGTCACAAAGTACAAAGTTATGGGTATGGAAGTGTATTTTGCCTACTATATATGATACATGTGATTAAGATAGTGCTAAAGAAATGAAGTGTACTAATTTTTCATGACTAATTGAAAACAATCTAAAATAAATAAGAATCCTTTCAAATTATAAATGATACATAGTCACGTAGTCAAAGTCTTGACCCATTCTATATTGTGAAACATATAATCTAACAAACGTATGAAATATCAACAAGTCAACTCATAAGTCGATTTTGCTAATCCTCCTCTAGTCGGCTGGCTGACCACACTGTTGAGCGAGCTCATTAGCTCAAATCAAGCAAGTTCACAAGTTGAGTTCAACGAGACACCAAGTCGAGCCGGCTTGCAACCCTCCTGAGCTGAACAAGGTTTAGCTCAATCTCAATTCCTTAATAACCAATCAGAGTTTAGAACGAGTTTTTTTTTCTTCTTCAAATCCAATGTTGTGACTAAGGGAAAATTTTAGGATATTTATATGGAAGGGTGCTCATACATCATTTAGTGAGATGCTAATGTGCATTGAAGGGTGCTTGTACAACTTGCTTCATGTTTTTCGATTTTGTCATCGTCGATTTCGTCGACTGTTGGAGCAAGTTATTATGCATTGTCATTACCCAATTAAATGAACTTTGTCATAAGTGTTATTGAAGTTCAATGAGCTGTTGATGGGAGCCAACATCCGTTTGAATTTTTATTGATTATGGGAGATGGAGAAGAAGTGGAAGAGAAAGATAGGAAAGGGGTTGGAAGGAGAGGTTATGTGATCATTCATTTGACAATCTTAATTTTCATTGATTGTTAATGAATATTTTTTCTTCTTTTTGTGTCTTTTCCTTTTTTCTAAATAAGATCATTAGAATAAAATGCCAAAAATTCTAAGTTGTCAAGTTAGCCAAAAAAAAAAAAAAAAAAAAAAATCAGCATAGTACGCTAGTGTTTTTAAGTTTAACATATTTCATGTATGGAATCACTGTATTTGTAGCAGAACAATGACTACATATATCACAAAGGTCACAATTTTGGTTATGCTTATGCATTTTGTCTAAACTAAATTACACTTACAATTCAATAATTAATAATCAAGTCAGTGTTACTTGAGTTTTGGTTTCAAGATTAGTTTCGTTATATAAGATATCACTAACTTGAAATAAAATATAAAGCATTAAATTGGATTGATGGGCCAAAGGTAACATAGTCTGGCGGTAAAACCGGTGGTCTGGTTGGCTCAAGATGTGAGAGGTCTTGAGTTCGATCCCCAGTGGCGCTGCTTGTGTGTTCCCGGAGGCATCCCTTAGAATGGCTGCCTTCTTCTTCTGTCATGTCTGGCCAGTGGCGATGGCGTGACCAGAGTCAAAAAAAATGTCATATCAGCATAGTACGCTAGTGTTTTTAAGTTTAACATATTTCATGTATGGAATCACTGTATTTGTAGCAGAACAATGACTACATATATCACAAAGGTCACAATTTTGGTTATGCTTATGCATTTTGTCTAAACTAAATTACACTTACAATTCAATAATTAATAATCAAGTCAGTGTTACTTGAGTTTTGGTTTCAAGATTAGTTTCGTTATATAAGATATCACTAACTTGAAATAAAATATAAAGCATTCAATTGGATTGATGGGCCAAAGATAACATAGTCTGGCGGTAAAACCGGTGGTCTGGTTGGCTCAAGATGTGAGAGGTCTTGAGTTCGATCCCCAGTGGCGCCGCTTGTGTGTTCCCGGAGGCATCCCTTAGAATGGCTGCCTTCTTCTTCTGTCATGTCTGGCCAGTGGCGATGGCGTGACCAGAGCCAAAAAAAAAAATGTCATATCAGCATAGTACGCTAGTGTTTTTAAGTGTAACATATTTCATGTATGGAATCACTGTATTTGTAGCAGAACAATGACTACATATATCACAAAGGTCACAATTTTGGTTATGCTTATGCATTTTGTCTAAACAAAATTACACTTACAATTCAATAATTAATAATCAAGTCAGTGTTACTTGAGTTTTGGTTTCAAGATTAGTTTCGTTATATAAGATATCACTAACTTGAAATAAAATATAAAGCATTAAATTGGATTGATGGGCCAAAGGTAACATAGTCTGGCGGTAAAACCGGTGGTTTGGTTGGCTCAAGATGTGAGAGGTCTTGAGTTCGATCCCCAGTGGCGCCGCTTGTGTGTTCCCGGAGGCATCCCTTAGAATGGCTGCCTTCTTCTTCTGTCATGTCTGGCCAGTGGCGATGGCGTGACCAGAGGAGGGAGAAAGCGCTGGAGGATCTGGGTGGAGGAAGAAGAAGAGGGACGACACCATTTTCTTTTTCTTTCATTTTTTAATGATTTAATAATTGATTTGTTAAACTTAAAATTAAAAAAATGATATGGTGACTGCCACGTTGGAGCCAGCTCAATATCGTAAAGTTTAGTCAGAATTACTAACAGAATAGTTTTAGAGAGTTAAAGTTTGGCTAATAATTTGTATTTCGATAGTTGTGACTATAATTTCCCGTTTCTTAATAGTTGTGGCTAATATATTGTATTTACCCTTCAAAATACGTAAGATAGAAAATTAGAAATGGGAGTTCACCTATGAACGATGGACTTTTTATTTTGAGGGGCAAATACTAGCACTCAATGCAAGTGTTTTGGTACTCAATATTAGCATATCAATTTATAATTTTATATACATTTTACTAGGTTGTGATGGCGCATTTTACCGCGGGGCTGAGCGACCAATTTGAGTTTCGGGAGACAACCATCAACCATTTATATCGATCTAAATTGCGGACCATGTTGGTGGAATATAATAATCAATTTCAAGCTTTCTCCAAATAATAATGGGATTTGAGTCTCGCCCACCTTCTGTCTACACGTCTCTCTAATTCATCTCGCATCTGGTGTTTTTCTCGACCCTCAAATAGTTCCATTCTCCTACCCAAATAGTTCTGGTTACATCCATACCCGTACCTACACAAGAATCGGGTATAAAACTAAAATCATACCCATGTCCTATGTTTCGGGCATCCATAGTTATCCATTAGTAATAATTTATCTTTATAACTCTAACCAACATGTTAATATTCACATGTATAGTGACATTACATAAGTGACAAAGTATGACAATAAATCACTAATATAAAGAAGAATAGTTACACAACAGTTTCATGAAAACATTATGTGTGTATGATTGATAAACATTTTGTGGTGTGCTAAGCCAAATCTCTCGTGCCAAAATTACAACTATGGATTATGTGGAAGTTGCAAAATACTAAAAAGGGAAAAGGGAAAGAACCAATGAAGTTATATAAACATAAAATTATGGCTTTGTGGTGCATGATAGCAAGAGCTTAGCAACACTAGCATAGGGTTTAGCTTTGTATAATATAATAATAATTACTAGTAATGCAAACACTTAATCTTGTGTGTCGATTGAGTGGATCCTAACGATGTGAGCGAATACCACGATTCACAAAAAAAAATTCAGACGTCATTTTTATAATTACGTATGAGTAGGCTAATAATATCTTATCTTATTTCAATAAAAACTTTATCCTTGCTCAAATGGTAGGGTGTGCAGCAAATTGGTCTACACCACATCGACCAAATCAAATTGAACGAAATCTAATGCAGTTTAAATGTCTAATACTCAATCTAATGAATTTTATAAATAAAGAAAAATGATTTGGTTCGGTCCAATTGGTGAAAGGACTTATAAGTTATAAAGTGCTAAATTTGACCCGAAATTGCGGTTAGTACAATGCGTAGAACTGAACCAGGACTGCAATTTGCCAATTTCACTCCCAAAGTCCAACCCATGAAATGTGGGTTCCTAATCCATTTTACAGAAAGCCTCCTCTCTGGAATCAACGAGAAGTCCGGCGAGCGCGCTTCTCCTTTCTCTTCTCGGCTTCCGCCGTCTCCGGCAGACCAGAGCTGCCTCCGGTCGACTTCGGTTCCCCATAGGCTGCTGCCTCCGAGTCCCGGGATTCGGCTGCAACTTCTCTCTTCCGATCTCCCTCCTGTTCTTCCGATCTCGCTTCAATCACCGGTGCCTTCAACCCCTCGCCCTCTCGGTACTACTCAACAGCCCAATAGCTTAGTGAGGTAACTTCTTATATCCCTCACAATCCCTCCCTAAATCGCAGGCAAATTTTGAAATTGTGATTACTGATTAGAATTTATAACTATTGTCTAGTGGGTAGCTTGCCAATTTCGATTTCTACCAATTATCTTAGTTTCTTAGCCAAGTTCACGGATACTTCTAGTTTTAGCCCTGTTGTTGGCATGAGTCAGGAATTTGTGAAGCATGAATATAGTCAAGTTTTCAAAACAAACGTTCTTCATTGTGATACTACTTCAGGTTGAGTACTTCACTCAAGCTCGTATGACTTGTGCATTTGATCACTGGGCTGTGAGCTTCCAAGCCAAGGATCACTACATACTTTGATGTAGACTCGCAGCTCGCTTCATTTCTTACAAATTTAACTTCACTGCGCTTGTTGATTGAGTGTGATGTTTAGAGGTCAGGACTCTACGAGCAAAGGAATCAAGTTAAATGACGAAAATCCAAATCGCCAGGTACCCACTAATCGTAATCATAAACTGACACTTTGATTGCGACTCAAAGGGAATGAAAGGGGAGAGAAGCGACCTACCTCCCTCAGCATTCGGCCGTTGATTAGTAAGAGATTGGAGGCATTGGTGACTGAAGTAAGATTGGTACCTGGGAGGAGTTCGGACAAGAAAGTTGCAGCGCAACTCCCGAGACTCCAAGCCGATGGATGAGCGGAGGCAGCTGTAGTCTACCGGAGACGGCGGAAGCCGAGTAGTGACAGGGAGGAGGTCGGGAAGGAGAAGGCGACGATCGCCGGACTTCTCTCGTAGATTTCAGAGAGAATGTCAAATGGGCCGAGCGAAGCCCACTTTCAATAATCCATATTACTCATGGGCTGGATTTGTACAAAATGGATCCTTTCCTTTGAGAAGTTGGAAACCAAGCTTCCCTTTCCGAGTCCGAGGATGAGAGGGACAAGTAAAAGGAAACAAAACATATATAAAATTAAGGTTTGGGGCTGGAGGTGGTTTCTTTTTCTTTTGGCGAAAAAAACAAAAAAGTAGAATGTCGATCTTTGAAGCGGAACGCAGAAAGAGAAGGAGGAACAACTTGGGAATGGCGACACCGGTGGTCGGCGGCGAAGAAGAAGAAGCAACAACCGACCAATTTTCGAAACTGCCGGATGAGTTAGCGGTGGGGATCCTTTCGCGGTCGGCGACCACAATGAACGAAGCGGCGAGATACAGCAGCCTACTGGGGAAACGGTGGAGGAACATGTGGCAGTTGATAGACAGCGCGGTTCTGGATTTCAACAAGTCCGACAACGACGACAGGAGATCCGAGCCGCAGCGGCGGCGGTTCGTGGACCGGGTCGACCAAGACATCGGTTTGATCCGACAGTCCAAAACCAGACTGGACGAGTTGAAGATTGTGTTCAAGTTTACCGAGATGGAAGAGGCTGGGTGGAGGTGGATCCAATTCGGTCTGGGCGAGGGAGTCAAACGGCTTACCCTACTGTCTCTGTTGCGCCCCGGTTGGGAGGCTCGCGACGCGATCCCTGTCCCCCTCTTCACCCCTGAATTCGTCGCCAAGCAAGACCTCAGCCGCCTCGAGGTTTTGGAGTTTCAGGGCGTGTACATGATTCCTGGAGGAACTCTGGATCATGTCTTGTCACGCTGCCACTCACTGCAGCACCTGTCTCTCAACAATTGCTCCTTCCACGACGAGGATACAGTGATCAGAATTTGTCGTCCCAACAACGACAAGCTGCAGACGCTGACATTTTGGTGTCCAGAAGAAGAGTTCCACAATTTCACTAGGATTGAAATCGTTTCTGCCCCTGGTCTTCGTAGTTTGAAGGTGGGTGGAGGACCAGTCGTCCCAAGGGTCGAATTCGGGGACGACATTCCTCAACTTCGGGAATTTGAGTATTGTAGGCACATCCAGTTTTCGGCGGATGGTGATGACTTCTGCTACTTCCCGTGGTCTCGGTCTGAATCCAACAAGTTTGCGCCTCAATTGCAGTTTCTCAAGTACGACCTCACCACTCACAACTTTGAACCTCTATCTGTTCGGGCTCCTGAATGGTTGCGGTTTGAGAAGCTCACGGTGTTGGATTTATCCATATATATACAGTTTGCTCGTACAAGTATGTTGGAGTGCACGGCCCTGCTGAGGGCAGCTCCAATGTTGCGCCAACTGTTCATATCGTTCATACATTTGTACAACTACAATAAGTGGGAGGATCCTGAGCAGGAGTTGCCAACTTGGAAGCATCAATCTCTGCAGGTGCTTCAGCTGCACGGGGTGCATCCTAGCGACTGGCAGGTTGTTGATTGTCGCAAACCTCAGATGGAGCTCGCTGCCTACATCATTATGGCCTCGCCTTCACTGAAGCAGGTCCTTATTGATACCAAAAATTTAAGATCCACTGCCCCCAGGGAACCACTTCAGGTTGATGCTCATATCTCTGAAGCTAAGATGGAATTGGAAGCTCGACTCAGCTCTCACACCACCACCTCCCAAATTCACTTCACTTATCTATAAGTACTTGTTGCTCTGTCAAGAGGAAGAAGAAGCAGCAGCAGAAGAAGAAGAACAAGAAGTATGTTCAAGGGTTCTAGATTTTTCCTAGGAGCTGTTTGTAGTCTACTGTATATGAACAAGAGATATGTGGATTTCAAACTTGGGACTAGTTCTGAATCAAATTTACTGATGGGGTTCAAGGGTTGTTTGGCAAAATCTCCTGTTTGTGTGTGTTTTTGCTGCGTTTTCTTGTTTGGGTTCCTGAACTTGGCAGATACGCTGATGTTCGTGTTGATCTAGTTCATTGTGCGGTACATTACTGACTTCTGCAGCAGGTAACTTCTGTTCTCGATATTGGACAATTTGAATGTTGAATGCATCAATGCTTTCCAATTTCTGTGTGAGTGTGGAATGCTTGTTTATGTTGAGTTATTGACAAATGAATGGTAGGTAGCTTGGTACCCACAATCTCTACATGTTGAGCCTAGTTTGTTAGGTCCTGTAATTTTGAACTGTGACTCTCCTTTAGTGCCTTCTAAATTATTAGGTTTCTTGCATACTCCACTTTGGCCACTTCGTTAGAGGGAAGTAGGTGATTCAGGACGAGAAGCCATGGTCATCAAATCTAATATGTAGACGCTAGTACTGGTTACTGGGTCTCTTGGAGATATCTGTTGGCTGTGGAAGTGCAATTTAGTCTATCAAAAGTACCCAATTATCGTGTTAGGAAACCAGTTGACTTCATTACGAGGATCTTGAGAACTGATGTAATAGAAGCATGTTGATTTGTCTGCTCAACCTTTTCCAATTAGATGGCTGTACAACACGATAGGAAGCTTCAATTATATTTGGTTTGTTACAACAGAAGGGTCTGGCATATCAACCATCCATAGGGGGCAGAGCAGGTTACCGTGTCTTCATTGGAGCAGGTTTTACAGTCTAGAAGTCCTAGTTGCTTGTCTCTAGAGTTCTGAGAGCAATAATTATTAGTGCCAACCTTGTCTTCATTCAGAATCTGATGGAATATTTTGTAGCCTTAGGTTCCATCAAACAGCGGAGTACGTTTTGAGGTGTGTAAAGTGAGTAGTTGGTTCTCATTCCTGAGTTTGGAATGTGCTGTTGTGTCTTTCTGAAGCTTTACTCCTACTTTTTAGTTTATTCACCAACCTGCATTTCTTCTTCTCAAGTAGCTCTTTCCCTTCACATGTGATCTATTGCCCTCAATTCTTCTCCCATGTTGCCGATGCAGGATCCCTTCTCAGTTTTCATCCTACCGTTCACCTTCTCCGGACATCAAGTTCCCGAAGTAATGGCTTCGCCACCTGCTTGAACTTGGGATTTCACCACTGAATTAGGTAGGATTCTATTTGCAATTGAACATGTATATGATTTTTTGTCATGACTTCAACACTGAGAATCAATATAGATGCTTACTGAATCGATCATGGATTCCACCCAAGAGGCAAGAATAGCCTTCGGTGTTGGCTCACTCTATTATACAGGCTCGAAAATGCTTCTAATCTTCATCCAATGTTTTGGCACTGGAACATTCTGTTTATGTTAATGAGATTGAAAGATGTTTGTTCGTGTGCTGAAGACTATCGAAAGAGATTGCCTGTTTTCTTATCATTTTTGCTCTGATCCCAGGTATCTATGGTTGAACATTTAGAGCGAGATATATCTTGTCACTACAAATCGTGGTTCCATGGTGACGAAGTAGGTAATATCAAAGAGCAACGAATTGCTAAGCACGTATTGTAATCCAGATTGAAGGAATGTTTAGATGATATTTTTCTTTTCTTTTTGGTCGTGAGAATTTGTTGCAAGCGCATAACCTTCTTGCTTAGTCTTAGCCATAGCGATAGCATCTTTTACAAAGCAGAAGAAGAAGAACAAGAAGTAGAAGCAGCAGAAGAAGAACAAGAAGTAGAAGCAGAAGAAGAAGAGCAAGAAGAAGCAGAAGAGGAAGAAGAAGAAGCAGCAGAAGAAGAAGCAGAAGAGGAAGAAGAAGATTCTTATTAACATGTTATTATTGTCCCAATCAAGTTCTTATTTTCTTTTCTGCTCTTCCTGTCATAATGTACAAATGTATTCTTCCATTGTTATTACTGTTGCTATTAACTTTAAGTAGTTGAATAAGCCTTCACTGTGTAGTTGGTATCTCGTTGAAGATGGAAATGTGGAACTCCATGAATAATAACCTAAATTGCTAGCTTATAATAACCTACATACCGAAACAGTGGCCCCGATGAAGACACAGCAGAACAGAAGGGAAGGATCGATCAAGTAAAAACAGGATTCCATTAATAACCAGCAACACCATTCTAAACGTCTCAACAGGAAAAGATAACAGTGCAGCAAAATTTCAACGGTAGATACCAAATCAGATAGTATCATCCACAAACCAAAACTGTGTTCGATTTGCTCTTCAAATTACCTGCTACATAACTATCATTGGGTTGAAATGAATTGAGCTAATACATAACAACCAAAGTAAGTTAGAGTTGTCACGCTCACCCAAATCCTTACAAGTTCACTACAGGTAAAATTCCTTTCCACTTGGTTTCTTCTTAGCTATCATAAGAACTCATATAAAACAAAGAGTTACTAAGTCATCAACGTTGCTATAGCTAGCTTAGCAGGTACTCAAGATGTTGACAAAGGAGGTTTCACTCACTCCCTTCTGATTTCAAACCCGTAGAACTGAGCTGCGCCCATCAAAGTTGCAAAATTCCTTTCATGTGGATAGGTGGTGAGCAGGATAGGGCCTCCATTGTCCGGATCTCTGAAGCGAGCAATGGCCTGGATTTCCGCCTCTGATGTGACACGCAGGATCAAGGGTCCTTGTCCAGGCCGAGCTCGTAAGGCAGCAGTGGCTTTAGCAGTCTCACTCTGAATAGCATCGTCCAACATCTTGATTGTAGGATCTTCATCTTCATGATTGACGATTCGATTGTACTCGGCCACAGCGGTTCTTAAACTGGCTCTCGGGTCCGGATACTCTTCTTGATTGGCAGAGCCTGAGGGTATGACAGTAGTAACGGCACTGAAAGGAAGAAAGCGGCGATCCCTTCTGGCCATCTTGTTCACCTTGTCACGAAAGCCTCTCTCAATTGGAAGCCACCTGCTTTTTCGTTCAGATACGGATTGCAGCATCTGCCCTGCATTTCAACCACCATAAAAAGAAATGAAGCTTTGAAGCAGATCAGAAATGAAAACAAAGAAAAGCCCAGCAATGCCATGAGTCGGTCTTACAGTCGTCCCTTACAGCCTGAGTAGCTGCAATCCTCGCTGTTACAGAATTCACCGACTCATGAACCCATCTGGCCTCATCCAGCCTATCATCCATCATCAACATCAAGAAAAAAAAAACACACACACACACAGTATCATTCATGTGGATTAATTTGGAGCAATTTGCATACACTTTTAGCTTGTTCTTGTGCATTATTCACTTTTAACACACCAAGTAATTAGTCGTTCGCAAACACTTACAGTTGGTTGCCGACATCTGCGTTGATCGCCCCTGCGCCCAAAGCACCATCCACGCGAGCTCCGAAAGCCAGGACCTCTCGCTCCGCATTGTTTATCTGCAAGTCCAGGTTCTCCATTATTGATTGCTGTCTGCAGGGAGGAAGAAAGCACTAAGGTTCCGGAAGATGCAACAATGGTTTCACGATTTTCCTTTCTTTTCGTCTCTTTGGGAGCGGGATGCTGCTCTGCTCACTGCTTCATATTGCAGCTTGGTGCAAGGGACGGGCGCCAAATTTGGCGTGAATCAACTATCTAGCGAATTTTTTTATTTTTTATTTTTAATAATAAACTGTCTAGCAGTTGGGCCTCTTTTTTTAAATAATTCAATACTCTATAATGAAAAATAAAACTAGCCTTTTATCCGCTTAATTGGCCGGATTACTTTTAAGGTACTGAGTACTGATTAGTCAAACTCGAGAGAGTTAGAGAGGGAAACTTTTATTTTTGGAGAATTGTATATCAAGATGTTAATAAAGCATTGATATGATAGGTATTTTAAAAATGTTTGAACATACTACCAAATTTTAGACAAATATATACATCTGGATCAAGATACTAAATCATCAAATATTTTTTTTAATTCGATATGTACGTTCAGATTAAAAATAAAATAAATAAATTTATAGCTCATTCAAACAAGTTGTTATCAATTTTATAAATAAAATTATTTAAATTCACTTTGTATTTATTTTATTTTTTAAAATAAAAAAATAAAAGTACATGTATTCCCCCCTCTTCAACCTCCAAATTTTTCCAAATGACATTCTATTACTCCACCAACCCACGGACTTTTTGTTTCTATTTATCTTCCCATTTTTTTTTCTAACTATCGACCGTCAAGTCTTCGTTCTGTTACACCAAATGGGTATCATCTAAATAATTTAATATTATAATATAAAAAACTATTCTACAAGTCTAAACAATCTCTAAATCAGTGAACACCTCAATAATCTCATCGAATCAATCTATTCCAATCTAGTCTTGGGCTATATTGGCTGAGTTCATAGTACATGTAAAGAGTCTGAATTTTGTAGCGTCATAGTCCATCGCTGGTGATTGGCAGATAATTCGTATGCTAATCTAAGCCTTAAATAGAGCTTGTATTATCTTCAATTATTCTCCGTCCTGACTCTCACCCACCATATGTATGCGTCTCTCAGGTGAAACAATCGCTAGTTGTCTTTTAGTGGCATCTATTAATTCGTGAATGGTTTCGAATTCATTCAAGTTCGTATTTTTGTGCTCTAACGAAGGAGCACCGACCCATGTTCCTCAAATTGTGTGTCTTAAGAATTACTTAATGTTAGAGCATGTGTAAATAATTTTAATAGAAATGAAAAGGTTTAAATCACATCGTTATTTATGTTATAAATAAGTCTCTACCCGTTCCTAACATCAGTGTAAAAGACACGTAATAAATACACTCATTACTCGAATTTGGCTACCTAATGAAATACTAAATTTCAACCAACTACCACTAATAGCCAAAGATTGTGAAAAGATGTTTGGCATTCTAATAAAACTCTAGAGATATTGTCCTCATTCTCTTTGAAAAGATGCAACTTTTTTGTGCTTTCATTGCTCACATGTCATAAGAATGCTTTGTTTGGTCAAAGGGTTACCTCACACATATAATGAAGAGCATAGAAGATGAGCCAACCAATCAACATGATCTTCTGGTAGGTAGTTCATATTACTACAATCAGGGTGGTATTATTAGCCTGTTTTCATGGTTCTTAACGTACATATTTTCCAATGAGCTTACACATTCCGAAAGTGAAAGTAAAAACAAATGCATTGCCAAGGAACTCTGATTATCGAACATTATCCATGTCTGAGGAAAGACAAATAGTTTATGCACACTACATTATTATCCATGACTGTTGAATGACCACTACCTGCTCATTGAAGCTTTTATCTCTAATACCAAAACCTCGCAACTGCAGCTAGCGAGAAATGTCAATATTCCCTCAACCACAACAGTTTTCCAGGGAAATATTTAGTAATGGCTAATCCAAAAGATAATTGAACTCCCAACATATTGATCTAATCCAGAATCGGGTCTTAACCATTCAATGACAAAATTAATGAGCAACTATTATAGAAAAAGGTAAAAGCAAAAGAAGAAAATGCCACCGCACCAAGAAGGTACAACAGTATCACCCAAAGGACAATCAATCTGCAGATTCAAATGTGCTTTCTTCTCTATACGAAATCGAAAATCGAATAGAGAGGAGTTTTCTTCTGCTTACATTTTCTTTGAGGGTGATATTTAGCCTGGACTCGGCCTCTACGTAGTCCTTGGTATTTGAGACACTTTTTTCTACCATTTTGATATGTAAGCTTTGGTAGTCATTACAATTTAGAACAACAATCATTGTAGGAAATATAGCTAGAGTTTGAAAGTTACCGCCTTGGTTAGCTCTTCCATGACCTCTGCTTCCATCTGGTCGTCCATAAGCACTGGAAACAAACGAAAGCAAACTTTTGCCAGGTCAAACAAATGAAAAACAGTCAATGAAACAAAGCAAATAGGAATAGCGCCCAAAATAGTGAGCAAAAGCTTCACAGACAAACGAACATCATAGACCGAACAAATGACTGGTCAAAGAGGGTCCAATTCCTTTGAAAACAGACAACAAGAGCTATTTACTGGGATCCAGTACCTAACCCTCCCTCTCCAAGCAATGTACTTGAAAACATTGAGCAAAACTCTGAAACTAGGGAAGAAGATGAGAAGCAGAATTCTGAAAATCGAGTTCTAGATGAAATATGATCTGGCATAAATCACGTATGTATCTAGTTTGCCCTGTGAGATTCGTCACCCAATAGTTGCAGTTCGACAATGGCTTCCTGAAAAATCCCAAGAGATAAAAAAGAATGCAGGACTGGAAAGCAGTTCAACCATGGCTTCCGAGAATTTTTTTTTATCCAATTTCAGTAGATGGAGTAAGAAAGAAGTGCAACTCAGCCAACTCATAACTCAACTCACCTTCTGCAGAAAGATAAAGTTGAAATTTAAGCTTTGAGCTTCTAAATATCCCAATGTCTGCCTTTTCCAAACTGTAGATTAGATATGAACGTTTAGCACTCAAGTCAAAACCTTCAAGTAGTAACAACAGTTTGAAGATAACCTGTATGTACTCCTGGTGAAGAGCGATACATAAAGAGAGATAAAAAAAAGTGTCTCTTCCTCCTCCTCCTCGTCGTCAATTTCAGCCACTCTTCAAGTGTGAAAAGAACTGACTTAAATTGTGAAGTTGAAGTGCATAAAACTGAATTATAAGTTCCAACCGTGAAGTTGCAGACTTGCAGTGCATAAACCTGAATCATCTGCTCTTGCAAGTCTCCATGGATGCCCTCTCTTTTTTTATTAATTCAATACTCTATAATGAAAAATAAAACTAGCCTTTTATCCGGTTAATTGGCCGGATTACTTTTAAGGTACTGAGTACTGATTAGTCAAACTCGAGAGAGTTAGAGAGGGATACTTTTATTTTTGGAGAATTGTATATCAAGATGTTAATAAAGCATTGATATGATAGGTATTTTAAAAATGTTTGAACATACTACCAAATTTTAGACAAATATATACATCTGGATCAAGATAACCGATGACCAAATTTAAGTAGTTGAATGAAAATGTGGAACTCCATGAATAATAACCGATGACCGATGACCAGAAAAGTTCACCGCCGCCAAGAACGATTAAATTACTCCTAACCCGCCCGATCAACCCATGTAAAAAAATCCAACCGCTAGCCTTTAACCCGTAACTCACCCCAACCCGACCCATCATCCCCCGCGGAATTTCCAGCTAATTAAATAACGTCCACCGTTGACACGTCTTGTTCAAGTTCGCAGCAAAATCAGAGATTTCGGAGAACATCTCGCTCATCGCCTCTCCGTCTCCATCTCTCACAGCTCGTAAAGCTCTCTGCAACTCCACGAGGTAAAAGAAATCCTGCTCTCGATCTTGTTTCGTCTGTCTTATTTCGCACTGTGATCTGCTCTACCGGCTGGCTTCGCTGGTTCTGTTCCCGGTGGTTTGACGCAGTCCTGTTTTGAATTTTCGATGCCTCTGTAGTTCTGGGGGAGCTATGAACTGGATTCAACGGAAGATCTATCTCTACAATGTCACCTTCGGGCTATTCATGTTGGATTGGTGGGAACGTTGCCTTTTCAGTATCCTTATGATAAGTAGGGATCTGCTTTTCCTTCTTTTGCCTCTTTTGCATTCGCAGAGATTTTGTGTTCTAGATTTTTCCCAGGAGCTGTTTGTAGTCTACTGTATATGACCAAGAGATATGTGGATTTCAAACTTGGGACTAGTTCTGAATCAAATTTACTGATGGGGTTGAAGGGTTGTTTGGCAAAATCTCCTGTTTGTGTGTGTTTTTGCAGCATTTTCTTGTTTGGGTTCCTGAACTTGGCAGATACGCTGATGCTCGTGTTGATCTGGTTCATTGTGCGGTACATTACTGACTTCTGCAGCAGGTAACTTCTGTTCTCGATATTGGACAATTTGAATGTTGATTGCATCAATGCTTTCCAATTTCTGTGTGACTGTGGAATGCTTGTTTATGTTGAGTTATTGACAATTGAATGGTAAGTAGCTTGGTACCCACAATCTCTACATGTTGAGCCTAGTTTTTTAGGTCCTGTAATTTTGAACTGTGACTCTCCTTTGGTGCCTTCTAAATTATTAGGTGTCTTGCATACTCCACTTTGGCCACTTCGTTAGAGGGAAGTAGGTGATTCAGGACGAGAAGCCATGGTCATCAAATCTAATATGTAGACGCTAGTATTGGTTACTGGGTCTCTTGGAGATATCTGTTGGCTGTGGAAGTGCAATTTAGTCTATCAAAAGTACCCAATTATCGTGTTAGGAAACCAGTTGACTTCATTACGAGGATCTTGAGAACTGATGTAATAGAAGCATGTTGATTTGTCTGCTCAACCTTTTCCAATTAGATGGCTGTACAACACGATAGGAAGCTTCAATTATATTTGGGTTGTTACAACAGAAGGGTCTGGCATATCACCCATCCATAGGGGGCAGAGCAGGTTACCGTGTCTTCATTGGAGCAGGTTTTACAGTCTAGAAGTCCTAGTTGCTTGTCTCTAGAGTTCTGAGAGCAATAATTGTTAGTGCCAACCTTGTCTTCATTCAGAATCTGATGGAATATTTTGTAGCCTTAGGTTCCATCAAACAGCGGAGTACGTTTTGAGGTGTGTAAAGTGAGTAGTTGGTTCTCATTCCTGAGTTTGGAATGTGCTGTTGTGTCTTTCTGAAGCTTTACTCCTACTTTTTAGTTTATTCACCAACCTGCATTTCTTCTTCTCAAGTAGCTCTTTCCCTTCACATGTGATCTATTGCCCTCAATTCTTCTCCCATGTTGCCGATGCAGGATCCCTTCTCAGTTTTCATCCTACCGTTCACCTTCTCCGGACATCAAGTTCCCGAAGTAATGGCTTCGCCACCTGCTTGAACTTGGGATTTCACCACTGAATTAGGTAGGATTCTATTTGCAATTGAATATGTATATGATTTTTTGTCATGACTTCAACACTGAGAATCAATATAGATGATCATCTTACTGAATCGATCATGGATTCCACCCAAGAGGCAAGAATAGCCTTCGGTGTTGGCTCACTCTATTATACAGGCTCGAAAATGCTTCTAATCTTCATCCAGTGTTTTGGCACTGGAACATTCTGTTTATGTTAATATGAGATTGAAAGATGTTTGTTCGTGTGCTGAAGACTATCGAAAGAGATTGCCTGTTTTCTTATCATTTTTGCTCTGATCCCAGGTATCTATGGTTAAACATTTAGAGCGAGATATATCTTGTCACTACAAATCGTGGTTCCATGGTGACGAAGTTGGTAATATCAAATAGCAACGAATTGCTAAGCACGTATTGTAATCCAGATTGAAGGAATGTTTAGATGATATTTTTCTTTTCTTTTTGGTCGTGAGAATTTGTTGCAAGCGCATAACCTTCTTGCTTACTCTTAGCCATAGCGATAGCATCTTTTACAAAGGATTTTTATTTCTGAACTCGTTTTGCTTCATCGGTGTTGCAATGAATACATGTTTTGGTCTACTTCATTCTTCAAATTGTTTATTATCTTCGTATGATCATGATCATGATCGGAGGTTGGCTTGTTGCTAAGGAAAAGTTTGTTAAAGAGTGCATGTGTTTTTTTACATGGTTTTGCTATATAGTATGGGCCATGGCAGATATTGCTAGAAATTAATTCGAATTGAGTCTTGGTCATCAGCTCCGACCCTAACCATTACAGATTTTATTTACAATTAACTAAAAGTCTTTGCTTAGTAGATTTCATCATGGATTTGGTACATTAAAATCAACTATCATGGATACACTATCATGGTTTTCATCATGGATTTTGTGCACAAAATTCAACCCTCATGGACTTGGAACAAAATTCATTGTTTGCTTCAAAGTTTTATGAGAGATAAATCTGTGAGGCCCACACATTTTGATGGTCCAAATTCGTGGACCTCGTGGACTTGCAAATTCCATCCTAAGGATTGGGATTTTGGTTAGAATTAGGAATGACAATCAAACCCTTGGTCACGGGTATCCGACCTGTCAACGCGGGGAATCCCTGCATTGATTGAGTATGGGTAAAACCCTCAAAAAGGTTGACATGTATGAGGCGGGTATGGTTTTAGCCTCCACTGCCCCATACCAATACCCATATCCGACTCATCAAGAATATTTCTTCACATATAATAAATACATAGATCAAATTGTAACCTATCAATGACAATGAAGGTAACTCAAGAAAATAAAGAATGTAAATGCAATTAAGTGGTTATCCATATCAAAACATTATTCCTTTTCTTCAATACTCATTTCATCCTTTCACTTTTTTCTCTTGTTAGCAAGATAATTATATTAATTAATTATTACTTAGTACATGTATGAGAGTTAGAGAATAATGATTTGAAAAATATCATACTCTATCCACGGGTTTCTTTGTTGACTTCATGATATATTAGGTTCATTAGTGTTATAATTGAAAATTTAAATGTGAAGTCTTAGGTATAATGATGTTGAATGTACAGGACGAGTATCCACGGGTACCCAAAATCCACGGATATGGCATGGGGATGGGTTTGCAAAACCTTCCCCGCATGGGTATGAGGCGAATATGAGTTTTGATATTTATAGACGGGGTGGAGATTGTTTATGCAAACCCGCCTCAAACCCACCCCATTGTCATCCCTAGTGAGGATGGAAAGTCCATGATGAGACTTTACTCTTTTATCCATCATTTTATTAATGACAAATTTGTCCTCTTTATTTTTGCTAACCCTAGACTAGTGATAACGAGGGACGAGGAAAGGAGTGGAAAAACATGAAGGAAAAACACACGAAGAAGATGGTGGAATGTGCTTGGACTTAACAAACATTATTTTGCTAGGAAAAGGAAGACGAGAACCCTATTAAGCAGGTTGATCATGTAATAAGGAAGATTAGTTTATATTCAATATTTCAAAATTTTTATTGATTTCATGTTTGTTTGCATATATGATTCCTTTGAGGTCTTGAAATCTTGGAGAGCTACGAATGAATTTCTAAATTTTTTTGTTTATATGAAAATAATAACATCCTTCATTTTTCTAATCCATGAAGCAAATTTAGTAGGGCCAAAACCACAGACTTGGAAAATTCCATCTCAAAGGGTGGAATTTGTGTGGGGTATCAAGTCCATGATGGTTATTTACTGTTTTATCCTTATTTTGTTTTGTTTCTAAAAAAAATAAGGGATAGTAAGGGTAGATAGATAAATTCATAATATAACATCCATCTTGAAATCCGTCAAGCATACAATGGTTTTATCTGAAAACCAACTTGACCATTTCCATAATAAATCCTTGGTTTTATAAAAACCAAGTTTTGATTGAAACCTTCATTTATCAAATCCATAAAGCAAACGAGTAAGGTGAACAAAGAAAACACAAAGAGATTGAAACCATCCAAATCTGCTAACTTCTAAAGCGATTGAAAAACACAATCAATCATAATTAAAGGCAATAGCTACTAGCTAACCTCTTAATCTGTTACCCCTATCGGTGAACAAAAACACTCGCAAACTGACCCGCCCAACCCAACACACCCGTATGTATCGCTAATATTAAGTTTAAGGTTGAGTGAGCGTCTTATTTTGTACAACCAGCCTCTTTGGAGTTGGGTGCGAATTTTGGGTTACACAACCCGTAGAACTCTACCCAACCCGTGTTTCAACTGTTTTCATAACTGTTCGTCCAAAACATATTTGTGACGTATATAAACATGTTTAAGAGAAACTTGAGATATTTGTCATAATTTTTTATCGTGGTCTCTCATCTCCCTAACCTAATACATTATTCGACTTAAAATTTAGACGTGATTTAATATAGGCTATGCTTCACTTAATATTTTTGGTACAATTTTAGAAGAATAACATACTATAGATGTGTTAGCTTATAACCTTTTTAACTTCTTTCGACAAATGTTTGTGGAAAAAACTAGACATATTTTGCATCAAATTGTATTTCTTTAAAATCAAAATAACATCCATGCATTTTGATACTTTTCACCTCAATTTATTTGTTTTTAATTTTATTTAGTTACATTATATTTTTGTGGTGTAAGTAACATAGTTGCATTTTTTTGTCGGGTTGTAGTTTTACTTAAAAGCATCGTCCATAGTGATTGTCACGGTGACAATCACTATGTGATTTGCATCATATCGTGACAAAATGTAGGTTTGAATCGATCTGATTGGCGGCGAATGGATCTAATGATTTTAGCAGGCTTGAGAGGAAGGCGGGCTGATGGCGAAGCAGATAAGGCCTGCGAGGGCCGGGGGAACGAGGCGAGACTGAGTGTCAATAGACAGAACTTCGCTTGGCTGCCGGAAGAAGCTGCTCGGAGTTTGAGGTTGCCGGAGAAAGAGGGTGAAGAGGATGGGGATGAGATGGGAAGAAGAAAGGGTTCGCTAAATTGGATGAGTTTGAGATCACCATCAACAATTGATTTGATGATGCAGATTGGAGAAGAACGCCGATATGAACAGAGATGGAGTGAGGTCGCCACCCTCCTGCACTCGCCGTCGTCGAAGATCTTAGCAGCTGCTAGCAGGAGAAAAAAAGGAGAAATGGAGAAGTCGACGACGACGACGCCTGGAGAAAAAAGGAAGAAAGAAGGTTGCTGGTTGTAGAGAGGAAGATGAAGAAAGCAACCGATTAGGGGTAAGGTTTTGAAAAAATGAAACAAAAATGAGGGATTTGAAAATAGTTGATGGTAATCAGCTATTTTAAAAACTCTCATTTGAGGGTTTTCAAAATTCCTAATTAATTGTAAAAACCTTCATACTTACCAAACGCAGAAATGTATAAAATTCTGCATAATGAGAGATTGTGATTAAAATCTCTCATCAAAAATCTTAATCCAAACGACCTCCAAGTGTTTTTCATTAGTCTGTTGACTTTTGAAATTGGCATTGTTGTTTTCTATTGCCACGACAAGTGTTGTAAGAACATTTTTTTCTGCAATGAAATACATGAAGAACACACTTCAAAATATGATTGATGAAATCATGAACGATTTTTTGATAAGTTACACTAAGAGTGACTTCCTTGATAGTTTGAATGACGAATGTATATATTACACACTTTTTCATATTATGAAAATACGTTTTGTAAAAATATTAACATAATATTGTTGAACCTCACATGCACGACCGATCGAGGAACCAATAATCAAAGCTGTTGAATGAAGAGAAACGATCGAATTACATCATATCAACTGATCCCAATGATCACACTGTATTACGTACGTAAGCTGGCAATCAGCTGCTGCCGCAGAGCTTCCATGGCGGCGCCATTTCCATCCTGCTCCTCCGAACCATCATCATTATAGTAACCGCATTCGTCATCGTCGGACGTTGAGAAAAGCGGTTGAAATTTGTTGTTGCGGCAACGAACCATGACATCAGCAGCATCAGTACTATCATCATGTTGGTGTTGATCATTCTTCTTCTTCCTGGTGGGTAATGCATCGGCTGGCAGTGGTACACTTCCACTTCCATTATTCTTACAGTCATTATTAGCTTCTCGATGCTTAGAAATATTCCTACACGTAGACGTAGAGAGTAGTAAATAGTAACTAATTGCAAGTCAACCGGAAAAGTTAGTGATTAATGGTTCAACAGTTAATCGTTATCGAATAGTTAGTTAAAACCGCTCATATATTATACACTAATTTACGAGTGAAATTACAGCTAACTATAAACAAATTCATATCCCTATCATCTATCCGCAAAAAAGCTTGGTCAAAGCATTCAAGCTATATATCTCACAAAGGTAATCATCCTTTTATTATTATTTAATTCAAACCAATAATCAGGATGATCAAGATCCATAGTGGACCACATTAATTAAGTTGAAAAAAGACTGGAAAATGAAGAAAATGAAGCATAAACAAAATTAGTGATCGAGGTTGGATGATCTTACTTTACGTTGCTAAAGTTTTTTTTCTTAACCTTTTGTGCATGGTTAAAATTGTGAATTGGTTGACTAGTCAAATCGTAATGGTTATTCCTTTGATTTTAAATCAAATCATTAAAAAAAAACATTTGGTTCATTCCTAAGTCCTAACCATTCAATCAAATAAGCCGAATTACTATCCTAATTGGGTTATTGGTTCTAATTGCGTAGCCATTGATCCGGTTCGATTTTCACAATAATAGCGAGCTAGCCAATAGTTGGCAAAAAAAAAAAAAAGTAGCTAGTAATTAGTTTTACCATGGCATTGGGAGGAAAGCAAAACAGTTGCGGTGCTGATTTTGATCATCGGCAAAACATTCGAGCTTTTGGCTGGAGAGATCGAAGACGCCGGAGGAACAACATTTATCCTGGTAGCCACGGTGGAAGTCGTCGATATGGACGAAGTATATACGGCCGTCTTCCACCCCGTTATGGCGGGAAGCAGGGAGACAAATCGACTGGTGGAGGTGAGACTGCTGGCTCAACAACACAGAATTGCCGCCCAAGCTCCTCACTTTTTCCCAGCCGGCGTGTGATTGTTCGTCGTCGTAATTAGCATGTTGTCGCAGCTTGTATACCTTGAATGGCTCGGAGTCGAAGGAAATCAAAGTCCTTTTGTATCTGATGACGTGGAGCTGGCCGTCGTCGTCGTCGAGGTGGAACAATCGAAGGCGCACCTCACCGCCGAAAGGGATCGTGACTCGGGATCTCGAACCTCCAAGTCCAAGTGGGGTTATTATTATAAAGTTGTGGAAAATGTGGAGGCTGCGTTCGTCTGCGAGATAGAGTTTGCCTTGTGAATAGAAGGCGTCCTGGAATTGGGCCTTTTTCAGCATAATAAAGTCCAGGCCCATGAATGCCCACTTTTGTTTCTTCTTCTTCCCCCCTTCTTCTGGGCCCACGCCCACCTCGCGCCATGCCAGCTGGCAGTGGGGGCTACGAGGGGAGGAGAATACGAGGATGACATGGCAGCGTTCATCGTGACGGTCGGGGGAGGAGGAGATGACGGCTTTCAAAATATCGTCCGGCGAGATGACGAGAGGAGGGAGGGTGAAGAACGCGCCGGTGATCGGGTTGAGGAGGTACGGCTTCACCGGGTCGGGTCGAGCTGCGGGTTGGATTACGAGGATCCACCCGTCTTTGGAAGTGACGACGCACGGGTTATTTGAATTCGTCGGTGGGCTAATTCTCGTGTCGAGACCGAGCGGGATGGTGACGTGGCGGGGGAGCCCACGACGTGATCTGGAATATGGACGGGGAGGAGGAGGAGGAGTGCCGCTGCCATCACCGGCGGCGGCGAGGAAATCGGGGAGCGGGTGGAATCGATGGGAATCGGGGGTGAGGGTCCGGGATTGTAGGAAGCCAGGGAGGCATGGGAAGCGGTAGTTGTTGAGGTGGAGTTGTTGGAGACCGACGATTCTCCACCATCTGCACACGCCGGAGAAAGGGACGAAATGGGAGAAGCTCGGCAAGTGATCTTTCGCGATCTTCGCCAATATGTCCTCCGGTAGCTCTGAGTATAAATCCATCGTTGGGGAAGACGAAAGCCGGATCCGGGTCAGGTTATATATATATATAGTAGGGTTTCAGGAATCAGGACGTTCTTGAAATTCAGGAAACTAAAAGCCCCTTCCCATCAATACCTCCCTCCCTAAGTAATCTCCTTGCTAATCTCTTTAGGATCTTGAAGCCTCAAACCAATTCAATTCCATTCCCAAATCAACCTCCTGAGTCCTCAACATACTTCCGCAAACCCGGATCTCCATCTCAACTCGTTGCCCAATTTCAAAATCGGATCGGATCGGATGCTGAACCAAAAAAGTTCGTGGTTGATGATTCAACGGTTAATTATTATAGAACTATTATTTAACAACCGTTCATAAGCTATAACATAAAACTAGATCATATGTCCCTCAGAGAAAACCTAGTAGGGTTTTGTGGAAGGATTGATCTTCAGCTTCCACTGAGATCATCCTCTGCATTTTATAGTTCAGCTAAAATGTAAAGACGAATGGATTACAGAGCAATGTCACTTGGCTGCTTTCCTTTTGTCTATTTAAATCTTAAACCGTGTATTAAACGGGCTAATTCCTATTACAACTCTCTAGTAATAAAACGACGTAGCATAACTTAATGAAAGCGTTTCTTCCTTCCATACATTTCGTCCTTCTTTGTTCTTCCTCGAACTTGTTCTTCATTATTCCTTCTGCAATCTAGATTACAACTCTGTCACGTCCGTTGGTTGGATGAATTTTGTCACTGATATAAATAATGATACGTTTATGAAGTAAGACACGTTTTATTTTTTTAGCATAAAAATTTTCGAATTTTTAGTTGCTAGAAGTACAAAAAATGTCAGTTATAGAATTTCCAGGCATGCTAACTGATTGATTGACAACTGTCTTTGTCAAAAGTTAAAAGAAACCACATGCAAGAGAATCAACTCCTGAAAAACTTAGAGTGGAGAAAATTATTAAGGTCATAGATTTTTTGGTTTTTGCTGTTTTTTTATGTATGCATTTTAGTTTCGGAAATTTCGAATCTCTAAAATATTGAGATATAAAATCTCTTATAATAAGAGAGATTTGATATCTTGATTTGTAAGAATTTTTATCTCTTTTTTATACTTTATCCTTTTTTTTTAATCCCACCAAATACTCTTTGTAATAAATTCTTAATATTTCTCAAGCCGTTATGATTCTTTTAGTTAAGGATAAACATATCATTTGAAAAAAATAGAATTTCTATTTTAAATGAATGTTACAATTTCAGTTATCAAACAATGAACATTTAGAAATATTCAATAATCCAATGAGGTATAATATTGGAATCTTTCAGAATCTTATGATTTATACTCCAATTTTTCAGACGACCCCTTAATCAAACCACACTACTTGTTCTTCACTATCAAAAATTACTACAATATTCATTTGGATTTCTTTGTGATCACGTAGCCATCAAAACAATCATCATCTCCATCAATAACAATGCCTTAGTCTCCATCACTAAAACTTTTATCTTCACAACAACCTCTTCCTTCTTTTTGGCATTTCATTGGGAGTCAATCTTTAATGGTAAAATATTTGTAAATATGAATCATCATTTTCATGCAGTAGATTAACATTGTTTAGGGCATTAACATTTTATGAGATTTGTTCTTTCTCCTTAACACTGATAAGCAACCAAGCGCCCAACACATACTTTGACAACATGTAGATTGAAACTTAATAAATTACTCGTAAGAGTGTCGACAATTCTTCAATTGACACATTATTTTTTTCATATTTAAAGATTATATTTTCCGTAAGAGTGTCGACAATTCTTCAATTGACACATTATTTTTTTCATATTTAAAGATTACATTTTCTTCGTGGTTGACAATTGTCTTTGAGTGATTTTAACTATTAGTAGTTATCATCAATGGCATACTTGAACTCCTCACTTCTCTCCCACCGAATCCAATTCCATTATTCCTTCTCTTTATGAATATAAACTATTTCTTGTTTTCTCTTTGGAGAACTTCTCTGAACTGGACACTGATTCTTTTATTGAATCATCATTAATCGATTCCCCTCACGACTCCCTCATAGAGTTTACTATGCAAATTAAAGGTCGAAAAATAGAAGAATAGTTTATATTGAATGAAGACGTACAATGCTCGATCTGTTGAAATAAGAAAACGTGACATACGAGAAGGACACACCGGAAATTGTTCAATTAAGGGATATCGAGTTT